GGGGGGGGGGGTTGGACACTATTTAGACAGAGTCAGAAGCTTCCTCATCCCTCTCAGTACAGGACAAATCTTACACTACTTCACACAGCGCAGTCGTCTTGGAGGTGAATCTGTCCATTTTCTGTTCAGGTATGTGCTTCTTTTGCACTCTATCTTTGTTATGGCTTTTAAGATAATTTATTCGACATTGCGCATCACTTTTATACAATACTGTTCAAAAGTCTTCGGCAGTCAAAAATGTTTAAAGATATTTATCTGAGTAGTAAGTGCGCATTTGCTCGGAACAAAAAAATCTGTTTAACATTAGAAATATGCATATTAAGACTTGACACAATAAAAACGAATAAGAATTTCTTCTGTTCTCCGAAAAGTTACTGATATCTAGTTGGATGGCTAGATGAAGACCGCTTTGGTTCCCAAACATCTCCTTAGTGGCACCTCAGCCATTCCATGTATTTACTAAATTTCTCCACCAGCTCACTTAATTTTTTTTTATTAGTTTAAGAAAAGCCAATGAGATATTGATTAGCTATGCCAGGGGTGCTGGTTGTCCAGTCAAAAAACACATGGCTGTTTTGATTGGTTGCTGCAAATTCTGGGGTGACTTTAGCAGAAGTATTGGAATAGCTAAGTTAACACACTTTGACAGGCATAACATCATAGTTTTACATCAACATGAAGATCATTTAAACATGGGAGGCTCACCCCACCTCTGCTTCTTGCAGGGATGTGCGTCGGCCGCTGCTCCAGGTTTGTGGGCTGGTCCCTGGTTCCCATGTCAGTCCTGTCCATGCTCAGCAACACCCTGCTGCTCTTCCCTGACCTAAAGGCACGATACCTGCTGGAGGGTCATGTGACTCCTGAGGCGACCTGGAGTACGGGTCTCTGGGCGTCTGGGCTCCTGGTGAGGCTCCGCTGTGTGTGTTTGGGAGATTTAATCTTAATGTGTGTGATTTTGTAGGATTAATAGTCTCTTTCCCTGTCTCTTTTGCCCTGTGTATGTAAGTCTCTTGCTGTATCTCACTGCGCGTGTGCGCCTGTTCCCACAGGTTCTTGTTGCGGCTAGAAGCTTCATATCTAACAATCTGCAGAGGAGTTGCTGTGGTTTCAGAATAGAGGTTAGCTGATCCTGTGACATTTGGGTCCTGCTGGTTGTGTGTGTGCGTGTGTGTTGGTAACCTCTGTGTGTTATTACATGTGTGCAGATGATGTGGCAGATTGGGACATCCTCTGTAGCAGTAGCTGCAGCAGGAATCTGCTTCCTGATCAGCAGCGCAGGACTGGCATGTGGCCCCCTCTGTCTTCACAATAGCACCGAGGGGCTGATCTGGGATCAGCCACTGAAGAAGCTGATACGCAGGTGTGCGCTGCCTTCTCTCCCACACAAACACACTCAGTAGCCACAAACCAGATCAGCCATGGATGTCTTTGCAGATGTGCATGTGTATAAATATGTGGATTTTTATTGAAATGTCTGTGTATTCACATTTCATGTACTTTGCGTACTTTGTGTGTGTGTGTCTGTGTGTGTCTGTGTAGGGGCAGCCCTTACTTCCCCATCCAGGCGTGGCAAACACTGACCTGTGAGGAGCCCAGCGGCGTGGTCCCATGGAACGCGGTGCTCTTCTCTGTTCTCTTGGCAACCAGTGGCATCCAGGTGCTGCTGTGCGCCGCGCAAACACTCAACGCTCTACTGGGCATGCTCTGTGGACAAGGCTTTGGCAGGAACAAGGTACGATGGGAAACGGTGCGCCCATGTGTATCTGCAGGAGGGTGACTCACTGTGGGACAACCCCCCCCCCCCCCACTGCTGGGTGGCAAGAGTTGGTGTGAGGCTGCGCTGTGATGTGTCATTATTCTGGGAGTCGCTTATTAAAATAGCTCTGCTGATGTCCAACCAAACATAGCTTTTAAAATGTTTTACCTTTGAATCACCGTAATGAACAGGGCATTGAGTTCACTTGATTGGGCAATTAGTAAAAGTAAAGAAATGTGATTGGCTACTAGTGAGTATCATTCATCAGTTAGACTCCCCTCCTCTGTTGTGGTAACAAAAACAGACTTTTACCCAACTCTCCACACCAGAAAGTCCTCACTGTTTTTCACCCTTGATCTGAGTGCTAATGCAGGGGTCTGTGAACGAAAGCTTCTCTCCTACTACAGGTTAGCCCAGCCTGAGGACAGAGTTGGGGGAAGGGGGCCAAGCTTCTGCATCACCATGGAACAGCTAGCAGCACACGCCATGACTTCCTGAGGTGGAAAAGAGGAACGGGAAGTACAGACTTAGTGAATAGAAAGAGCGCCATCTGGTGACTGCCGAGATTAATGTCGTTCTGCGGTATGTATTTCTGGAATCTTCCGCTGGGTCTTCCTTCCAGAATGGGACGTTCGCTCAGAAACAGAGGAGTGCCATGGTTCTGCAGCTCACATTCTTTATCTTTGAACATTTCCGTTGTTTTCTGAGGTCAATTTTCTTTTTAAATGATATTTTTCAAGGTTTTTTATATTTTTCAGCACAAAAATCATTAGGAAATAATTAAATATTTTCCCTTCTTATTATTAAATATTTATTATTCTTTTTGCGATCTATTAAATATTAACTGATTTTGCTTCCCTTGTTTTTCAGTTGTTTATCTGTAATGAATGAAATGTTGCTGTATCCACTTTGTATTTCGCTATGTTAGCTCTTGTTTTTCCATCACTCATGAAAGAAATGCATTATGGTGCTGATGCTTCTCTCTGGTGATCATGTGCAGTAATAACAGTGATAATATGGAAGTCATCTGAAATGTGGCTGAGATGCAGTTGGCTTGTGGAGAGTTGGTTGTTCCTGAATGTGGTAGTCGGTGTTCTGATGCTGCGAGATCTACCACCAGAATGAGTGGACATTGCAGAGCAGCCTCGAGGTTACCCTGCACACATGACCAGCGTGAGAGATTTGAAGATAGGTGGATGGATCTCTTTCCACGACCCAAATACACTTTCGTTTTCTCACCTCTCCCCTTGTGCTGATACCAGTGCCACAGTAAATCCCACCACAGTCTCAAATTAGGCAGCTGGTACTTCCCCTCATCTTCAGGTCATGGACTCTTCTGATGGCTGATCCACAAGAGATGAGTACAGGACCATCTACTGCAAGATAAAACCTTATGGTTCCCCTTCCCTTGCCCCGGACCGCACAGGTTCAGCCAGATGCATCAGCAGGGCTGCACTGGCGTTTACTTTAGAGAATACAGTTACAGAACTGTCAAAAGGCGCATTACCCATTCAGCCACACTGAGTCACAAAGAGAAAGGACAGTGTGAGACAATATACACTGCAATAGTACCCACGACACTCACAAGAGACGCATCCCGCCAAACAACTACCTCTTCACCAGGCTGAGGTCTGAAAAGCACTTCTGCTGTCTCTCAGTGAGACCTGACAGTCTCAGAAGGAGCTTCCAACCTCCAGCCGTCAGATCACTCAATACCCCTACAACACTTATGATTAAACACTCTCTCTTTGCATATGTGACATGCACTTTATTTCAGCCATCCTTCTTATCTCTGATCTTTTTTTCTTTTATTTTTCTATATAACTTTATGTTCCTTATTTATAACATATTTATTGTCATCATTGTTTTATTGCCACTACTTTTTTTATTATGGAAGAGTTGATCACTTTTCATTTCACTGCAGCATATAGTCTGACTGTATACCTTGCATGTGCCAAATAAAAAAATCCTTGAATACAAAACTTTAGACGGAGCATCATGCCCCCCACTCCCCCATTATCCTTCTTTTTTGAGGGGGTGTCCATGCATGCAGAATCAGCATTTTTGATCCTCAGACCCATTGCCTCCATAAGCATCATAAGGACAGCACACCTGCTTAACCTCGGACTGCCTGCTTGGCATGACGACCGGCTCCTTCCCTGCCTGGCTGGAAGACGATCCCCATTAGCTTGATGTTATTTCTATGCACTAGGAACATGGTGGTTTAAACACCATGGTGGTGTGTATGTTGATGCTTCCATGTCTCATTCTCGCCAGTGCGGGGAAGCAATAAAAAAGGCCAATAGGATGTTGGGGTATATCTCCAGGTGTGTGGAGTTTAAGTCAAGGGAGGTAATGCTAAGATTATACAATTCCTTGGTGAGACCTCACCTAGAATATTGTGTGCAGG